AGAACTTTGATGCCTGGTTTTTATAGGTCTGAGTCCAGACAGTAGGAGCTTCTCTATGTTGCTCACTCAGTATCTAGCAGAGTGTGGCACACAGTAGATACTTAACAAAGATGTGCTGATGGAGTGAATTCTTAGGAGGTGGCCGGGAGGGAGGCTGGGCTACAGGTGTCACACGTGGACTCTGGAGTCAGGTTGTCTGAGTTTGAATACCAATTTCCCTACTGACTAGCTGGGTGCCCAAGACAGGTAACTCAACCTCTCTTAGCTTAAATTTTCCTACCTGAAAAATAGAGAAAATAATAATGCCTGGCATGGCAGGTGCTCAATAATGTTAGCTACTATTAAAAGGAAAAACAGTAAGTGAAGATACTAGGTGACCCATGAGTCATACCTAAGAAGTTGTTTGTAAGCACAAACCATGGTACAGATCAACCTCATCCCTGGCATTTATCTTTCAACATATAACCCTGCTCCCTGCCTCAAGGCCATAGAGCAGCGGTTCTCAATCTGTGGGTCGCCACCCCTTTAGGAGTCCAACGACCCTTTCACAGGGGTCGCCGGGTACTTGTATATGGGCGTATCTGCATGTGGGCCTGGAGACAGATAGAAGAGCGGTGTCTCATTTCCTAAGACCATCGAAAATATGTGTTTTCCGATGGTCTTAGGTGATCCCTGTGAAAGGTTGAGAACCGCTGTCATAGAGAGAAACCCTGGCAGTTGAGAGAGTCTGCGCCTCTGGAGTGGCAGAAGAGCAAAAGACAGAAAGGGCAGGACCAGCCTGGTAGAGCTGACCCCACAGTGCGGGTAGATTCTCTTCACAGATGACTGCATCAAAGACCTAGAATGCTGTCCCCCGCCCCCAAACTGCCTGATTCTTTTCACGCTGATTCACCAGCTGAAGCTCCAAAGCATCGTGGACACACTGCCAGCTGGAAGGCTGCACTCTGCCACCATTCTGGGCTTCCTCTCCTGGCCCCGCCCCCTTACTTCCCATCATGGGGAGACGTGTGTTAGACTTGCCCCCCTGGAAGATTACCCACATGCTGGGTTGACACAAGGCAAAACATACTTTTTCTATCACAAAACTTAAATGTCTATTTTTCCACTTGAAAACTAATACTTCAAGGGACATTTCACTTACTTTGGCAGTAGTTGCATCAATCATTTTGAAATAATATTTTAATGAGAATAAACATTAATTCAGAAAATTAGACACCTAATTATTATATAGTTTGACAGCTATCATCTGCCAGCTTTTCCCATTCATACCATTATCAGTGGATGAGCCACATGGGGAAGGGGACTCATGGGAACAATCTTGGGAAACTGCATAGGAGACCACAGAAAAGATCTATACTTAGCAATAATTAAACCTCAGATTAAGAATGTCAAGCATCTCAAACTAATGAAAAGTCAAAAGTATAATTACATTGTAAATTTGCCTTCCAGAAGAAGGGCAGCCCCAATTCCCCATCAGTGAGGGGAAAAAGACTTCATTTTGTTTCCATTTCCCTTCAGAAAACATGAATCTTTCCATGTCAAATGCAGTCAGATCTTACACGTTTGTTTTATTATCCTAGTTAAAACCAAGAAATTTTAGAGGGGCACTGGGAAGGCAAGGGAGCCGTGAGTTCCAAAAAAACAACAGGAAGTAGAAGTACACTGCATTTTTAAAGTATTATTGCCAAATAGTATTTCAGAAATGTTTATATACAAAAGCACAAAAATAAGCAGCTGAACACTATGTTTTGATGGCACCAACCTCCTCCCTGTGTTAATTTATGACAGTGGTTTGGACCTCTGTGGTCCCATGTGCTGGTGGTTATTTTCAGCCGTTTCTTAGGCAACAAGTGCTGTTGCATTGAAACTCACCAATATTCCCAACTTTCAGAACCAGAAATGTGATTTAGTAATGACACACCTAACTCTAGAGGAGTCATATTCCTTCATAAAGAATGTGAATATTTATCCAAAACCATGAGATTTATGGTGCAGTACAGCTAATTGAAAATGAAATTGGAAATAAATTAAAACCAACTACATGTTTTAATCAGTTTGGAAGACTTCAAGTATTGCAGCAACAGAGTAAGTAATTTTCTTCTGGAAAATATATAATGATGTCATTATTTTGGTACTTATGACTCTAGGGGATGCAGGAAATAGAACAGAGACAGATATTTGCTGAATGCAACAGATAGGTGGCACTGTGGCTGGTGGCACATATGGAATTACATTCCCAAAGCGTGGGTTATTACAAAGGCCATGTCTAAGGTCTAAACGTCAGAATTAGAAAATCAAATAAGTACATTAAAAAGGCATCTGACTCGCATAAGAGTTAAATTTTTACATTGGCAAATAAACTTCTGTAACTTCTAAGGTGTCCACTAACTTTCTATTTAGCTAAAGAATGCTTTAGGTTACTACTTTAATTTTAAGCATTCACAAGGCTTGTCATTGACTTCTATCATTTGGGAAAATCAAATTCTAATGAAGCACTGGCTTTCTGAAGCACAACGAGTTAATAACTATGTGATATTAATCACAAACCCAAGGAAAACTTTGGGTTGCTTACCTATGGCAAATTGTCAAAACAATTCCACTTGGTAAAGGCAATTTTCCTTTTTGGCTAGAAAGGCCCTCTGTGCTTGGCTTCAGAAGCCCTGTGTCCACTTTCTTGGCTCCACCCCTTCCTGGCTGCTGCACCATCTGTGGGTTTCTTGGCTATTTAGTTGTCTGAGATCCTCTTTTCTTCTAGTCTACACCAGATTATCATATCCGGTGTCCTCCATATTTCTATACAACACGGGGAAACTGGCAAAGCTTGTCTTTAAATGCCTACTACCATCCTTCTTGTTGCCAATTCCTATTTCTTCTAGACTCAGTTTCCACATCTAAAATGTGGGGGTTAAAACACCTACCTCATAGGGTTGTTGAGAGGATTAATTGTTAAGAGTGCTTGTAGAGGCGATAGCACAGGGGTTGGCACTTAGTAAGTACTAAAAAAATTATCACTGTGCCCTCCCTTCTCCACCTCTTCCAACTAGACAAATGAATGTAAGCTGTATGGCAATAGTCGGTAAGCAAACCTCTTACAGAGCTTTCCATTTTAAGAGAGGTTTTCAAAGTGCTGGTGTACCCAGGGATTTACCAGTCCCTCACGCCCCTCCCCCTCTGGGGCAGAAGGTAAGTGGGGCCTTTTAGGCAGTGCCCAGACCACAGTGGGTAAGCAATGAGCCTTCTCCAGGGGGTGTGCAATGTAAATCTCACAAAAGTATGTTTAGGACCTTTAGGTGTGTTTCCCATTGCATCTTTATTTGAATTAACAATGAAAAGCACCCAAACAGCAAAAACAGTCATTTACTCAGTCAAAAGCATAATACAGTTTTCAGGGTTTAGGAACCCATATGGGAGTTGATGGAGTGGCCGCTTATCTTTCCAAAAGTTCAAAAACTAGTGGCCTAAAAGAAAAGGGGGGAAAAACCCCACACACAAAAAACCTAGTGGCCTCAGTGATCAGCAATGAGAAAACTAACTTCTGGCTAAAATGAGGGTAACTGAGTCCCAGAGTAACTCTTGGCCATGTGTACACTTTCCTTTTTGGAAGAATCCTTGAATCAGTGCTAGTTGAGGAAAATGTGTGTTTTCCTAAAGTGTAAATGAGAGAAGAGAAACTGAGATGGGGAGAGGAGGAAAAGGCACCACGCGTTTTGAAGTTCTCTAGCCAGAAAGTTGTATCCTATCTTTTGTTTCTCTTCCCCTGGGTCGGGCCACTTTTTACCTGGGGACCGGTGTTCAGTCCCCTCCTTTCCCAGGGTCTCCTGATGTGGAGAAGTAACGCCTCGTAAGAAGTAATTGGTAGGACATTATTGCGCCGGAGTGTTTATCAAGAACTGCCTTTCGGAGAAACTCGGAGCCAAAAGTTACTTTTGGAGTCTGTGGGGCTCCCCGCGCGCCTCCCCCTCAGCAACCCTGGCAAGTCAAAGCGGTCGCGTCGCGTGGCGTGGCGTGGCGTGAGGCGGCTGGAAACTCGGCCGCCACGGTCAGAAGTATTTCGCACACAGCCCCCTGACTCAAGCCCGGCCCGCGTGGGGACTGAAACTTGTTATCCTAGCACGAAACCAGGAACTCGAGTCCTGTGTAAACACAACGCTGGCCCATCCCCAAACGATTCCCTTTTATGTCTCCGCAGTAATTATTTATCTCACATATAAATCAGGGTTCCACTGACAAATCTCCACTTCAGTATTTCCATTAAACTGAAGGCTGTCCCGCAAAACCCTTCTCGTGATTCCGTTTAAAGGTACGAGAGCATCTGACACTTCCCTAAACCAGCCTGCAGGGGACACCGCCCAGGGGACGATTAACGGGATGGTTTGTGTCACTCCTGAACACACGTGGGCACACCAACTCCACAGGCGGGCACATGGAAGGGACGCGGAACCGAGGGCAGTTATTTTCCAGTCAGTGGGTCTGATGGAGAAAAATGCCAAACGCACTTCCCCAGCCAGCTGAACTCCGCGGGCACCTAATCATTGCCAGATGTGGGGAGGGCGCATCGAGAACATCCCCGAGTCCCCGAGAAAACACCCGGCCGGTCGCACATCGACTTCTCGGATGGAGAGACTGCAACAGCGAGGAGGAAAGCGGACCCCCGACGGAGGGGAGAGCCGCAGAGGGAGAAAGCGGACTCGAGGGGGAAATGATGATGCCTCCACTCTTCCTCGGCATCTTTTTTCAATTAAAAAGTTGGGAACTGGAATCCATAAACAACGACTTAGTACTTTGCAGAGACACGATGGGAAAGTTAGTTTGTACACTTCCAAATCCCAACCTCTAGGTCTCCTACCTGTTCCACCCCGGAGCCCCGAGTGTGCACGCACCAGCCCGGCTTCCGCCCTCCCCCGGCCCTCCACCCGGAGAAAGGTCGCAGAGGAACGCACCTCCGAGCCCTCCCGCGCGCCCAGGAACCCGCACAGCCCGGGCAGCCGACGCCACCCTACCTTTCATGGTGACCGAGGAGACGCACCGCCAACCAGGGAGCTCCGCGCCGCCGAGAAAGTTCGCGCTGAGCAGCAGTCACTGCGCGCCCATGGCAGCCGCGCTGCGCGCCGGCCGTCTGCGCTCGAGCCTGCCCTTGCCGCCACCGCTGCAGCCGCCGCCGCCGCCGGCCTGCGCTCCCCGCTCGGTGCTCTGTGCCGCGGGGCTGCCGCGCGCGCCGCTCACCCCGGGCGGGAGGCGCCGCGCCCGCCAGCGCCCCTCCCCCTGGCCTCCGGGGCGCGCCGGCCGCCGCGTCCGCGCCCCTCTCGCGCCCTCCCGCGCCCGCCCCGCCCTCGGGCCGGCGCTCGCCCCTGTCCAGTCGCTTTCTCCCCTTTTCTCTCTCCGCCCTCTCTCTCCTCGGGTTCTCGCTTTTCCCCGGTGGACCAGCAGAGGAGCGAAGTCGAAGGAAAGCTTCTTGCCGCGGTCAAGTGATCCCCCTTGGTGTGCGCGGAGGGTGCTGCTACTGCTGAGCTTGTGTCTAGACCCCAAACTTAACTAGAGCGTGAGGTGAGAGAGTTGCGGAGCAGCGGTGTCATGGGGTTGGCGGGATAATGTTGTCCCTTCCCCAAATGGCACTAGGGCATGGAGGGAGGATTAAACTGGGGGAGAATGTCCTCGGGGTTCGGTGTTTCCAAGTGCGCTTATTGACGCCCGAAGGAAACGGGTTAGCAGGGGAGCGTGCTCACTGTCATCACGGGAGAGCTGTCGCTAAATCCGAAGTCCTTTAAACGCTGTTCCTGCAGAAGTCGGAGCAGGGTTACAACTCTTGGATCAGGATACAAAGAAGAAACCAAGAAACGCTCCAGACTCCCTTTGGTTGGAAAAGTCTCGGGGGCTTCCACCTACCTCCCCTGAAATGATCCGGTGGACTGTTTTACTACGAAAGGAGGAGCGGCTTCATAATAAATTCCTTTCATTGTGGCTCATCATGTCGCCCCACTGTGTTGATCTTTCCTTTTAGAATCCCCATAAGCAGACCCATTGCTTTATTGCTTTAAAACATGAACTAAATGGTGAGTGGAACTGTGGGAGGTACAGAGGAACTTTCTTCAATTATGAAATGAAAGATGACCACGCACTCACTAGCACGCCAAAAGCAGTGCGAGTCTGGCTGGCATGGTACAGCTTTTCAGATTTCCTCTCCTGAAGACTTGGTAACGCCTGTAACCAACCCATTGATTCATTCTAAACAGGGAATTCTTTGCTCTAGTAAAAGGCAGTGCCCAGAAATGAACACACTCTAAAGTATTTCACAGTCTGTTCATTCCAGTAGCACTCTTTTTTGAACATTAGGGGAAAAACTGTACATGGCTAGCAAAGAAAAATACAAAAACTCGCACTTTTTTTCACTTTAGTAGTTGATGAAACCACAGGGCCCCTGGGGGTTACTCTGGACACTTGCTCCAGTTCTCACCAAGGTACCTGCCTTGTCTTTTGCAGAGCAAGTGAGAATGCCTAAAGGAGCCCAGGATATGGATTCTCAGCCCGGAGCTTATTAACCAGTGTTGGGATGGAGTAAATCCATCAGTCTCTTTGAATAATAGTTTCTCCAACTGAAAAGTTAGAGAATTTTAGCTCCACTAATTGAATTGAAAAAAGTCATTAAAAGAAAACCTAAATTATAGACATGACACAAAAACATGGTCAACAAAAGAAAAAAATAGATACATTGGATTTCATGAAAGGACGCTATCAAGAGTGAAAAGGCAACCCATAGAGTGGGGTTTGCAGATACCCTCAGAAACCTCCAGAAAATATTTGCAAACCATATATTTGATAAGAGGTTAATATCCAGAATATATAAAGAACTTCTACAACTAAACAACAAAAAAGTAAGTAACCCAATCCAAAATGGGCAAAGACTCAAACAGACATTTTTCCAAAGAAGGTAGGCAAATGGGCAATAAACATGGAAAATGCTCACCATTACTAATCATTAGAGAAATGCAAATCAAAACTACAATGAGATACCACTTCACACCCATTAAGATGACTATTATAAACAAAATTAAAATTCAATAAAAAAGTGTTGACAAGGATGTGGAGAAATTAGAACCTTTGCACATTGCTGGTAGGAATGTAAAATGATGCAGGTTTCTCAAAAAAATTAAACGTAGAATTACCATAGGATCCAGCAATACCACATCTGGATACATGCCCAAAATAACTGAAAGCAGGGATTTGAATAGATATTTGTACACCCATGTTCATAGTAGCATTATTCACAATAGCTAAAAGGTGGAAGCAACCAAAGTGTCCATCAATTGATTAATGGATAAACAAAATATGATATATAGTAACATTGAAATATTATTCAGCCTTAAAAAGGAAGGAAATTCTGACACATGCTACAAAATGGATGGACCTGGAAGACATTGTGTCCATTGTTAAAGATGGCCCAGCAAACATTTCTTTACCAAACATTTGCATTTCCATCTCCATGTGACTTGCCTTCCCGTTCTTTGAAGTCCCAAACCACAATCCCTGCCCACTTTCTACTTAGCACAAGATGGCATATAAGCCTCAACAGCTCAGTGTGTCCTCAGGTCTTATATTCTTATGGGACCCCATATATACCTAATAAATTTGGACATTTTCTTCTGTTAATCTGTCTCATGTTAATTTGATTATTTTCCCAGCTGGAAGGAAATTATTTTTTGCACCCCCACAATGCTCACCAAGCTCTGCTTCTACCTTCAAAATATATCACACTTCTCCACTTCGCTTCATCTCCCCTGAGTCTCCCATGTAAAGACCACTATAGCGCATCAGAAATTTTGCTAGAACCCTCCAAGTAGCCTGCTCTTGCTCCCTTTCTACTCCAGGCTCCACCATGCAGCAGCCAGAGTGGCACTGAAGGACAGATGAGAGATGGGAAACGAGCAAGCTGAACTCTGAACAGTGTCCCCAGCCTAGTGCCCTCAGAGAATGTCCAGGCTATCGTATAAGAAAGGGGAGCCCAGGTTGAGCCCAGTAGATTCCTTGAGTGGAGGGGAAGTTTCGAGTGCAGGGAGACCAAGGCAGCACAGAGCACTGGAGGAGCAAGTGCGTTCAATTTGTGCTACCCACTGGGATCACTACGATACCTTGATTTCTGACCATCTCTATGTTTCCTCTGTGGCTGGCAGCTGGTTCCTTCCAGAGACTATCAGGGCCACCACCACCTCCCATTTGCCCCCTCATTTCTTTTCCCTCCTTATGTAGCAAGCTTTGCTCCATTTCAGCAAAGCTATTTACATCATGTAAATACATCATGTGCCTATTTCCATCTATGAAGCTTTGTGCCTAGCATTGCACCTCAGAAAACATCCTTCTTTATCCATTGTGTCAGTACATTTAGCCATGTCTGCCTTAAAAACACAACTCTCCATGTAGACATGGACCCCATTCATCCAGCAAGCAAGACTTCCATTATTATATGCTAGGCACTGTGCTACATGCTGCTTTGAATTCAAAGTCGGGTCAGACACAGTTCCCCACCCAGGAGGTAGGTGAGACAAGTCTTTCCAGAGAGGATCTGCAGCAAAGACTGCAAGTGAGATGGTCAGTGTCATGAGAGATACAGATAAAGTGCTAGAGAAGGAAAGAAGGTGATGACTTCTGACTAAGGCCACATGGAAAGCTTCATTGAGACTGGATCTTGAAGGATGGCTGAGATTCAAATGAACACGGGAAATGCTTGCTTTCCCTCCAGACCAGTGGGTTGAACAAAGAGGTCTGGGAGCCACTTAGAATCATTCAGGGGTATCTTCAGAAAGTGCAGATGATTGGGCTTCACCTCAGATCTCTAAATTAGAATCATCCTGGGAGAGGCTGGGATGCTTCTACAGCTGATTTCCGTGCTCATTAAACTTGGAGAATCATCACAGTAGACTATGAGCTTCTTAAGAGAAGGACCATGTCTTCATCTTTGTAACAACAACTTCTAGTAATTAAATTCAATGAAAGGCTGAATAAATGGAAAAGGGATTAACAATGGGGGGAAGTGCCTAAAAAATGCAGAGCAGAGAAAGCAAACTGCATGGAATACCCCTTACAATAGTCATCAATGGATGACACCCCAGGCTCTGAAAATCAAGCCTTTGCAAGTGGCAGGAGAGCGAGCTTGTTTTTTTGAGAAGGATATTGACTTTTACAACATGGTCGTTTGAGTAACTTCATATTCTCTTCCACACTTGACAAAGAATAAACCTTGTTTACCAGACTAGTCATTGTGCTGTTAAGCAAGTCTGCTAAAATGTTATGATCACATAAAGAGACTAATGGTGTTGTAATGGACACCAGGGCTATGTCTCCATCCTCTGAGATATGATTATGCTTGAGATCTGCATGAAAAGTTTTCTTTGGATAAAGAAATAATGTTTAGGTCTTTAAAAGCTTATGGGTTTTGTCAGTGTTTCTATTTCTTTAGTTCTTTTTTTTTTAAAAGATTTTTATTGGGAAATTGGGGCCCTATTTCTTTAGTTCTTAAACAAGCTTAAGGTTTTTGAAAGAGGGCTCTGATTGAGAGCTGTTGAATATATATTTGTATGTATAAATTTGAGCTGATCACTGATTTGTGTATATAAAAATATATATTTGTAGCTGATCACTGTGAAAGTTGGAAATTCAGACAAATATATATACGTGCTCGTATATATTTACTTGTGGCTGATCATTTTTTAAAATATTGGACTAGCTCAGAGGTACATCTGTGTTAGTATTTCATGCTGGTATTCCTAGTGCACAGTAAGCGTTCAATAAATGTTTGTTGAATGAATAAATGAACAAATATTCAAATGCAATTGGAACGGATCCAAAAGATAAAGAAGCTGTTTTATCTGTCCATCAATTCTCGCCTACCTTTAAAACGAGCTTCTTCTTTATAGCAATAATAGTAACCATAGCCGACATTTATTGTTTTCTATGATCTAGACCCCATGCTTAGCCTTTGAAACACATTATTTTACTTACCAGATTCAGAAAATACTTGAGACTTCAGGGAAATCACTTAACTTTGAGTGTCAATTTCTTCATCTGAGAAATGAGGACAAAAATATCTATCTTGAAATATTTTGGGAGAGATTAGAAATAATATTTTAAAATACCTCAAGCATTATCTGTCACTTAGGAAAAACTCAGTAAATTGTACTCATTTTTCTCATAATTTATTATCTTCTATTT